GAAGTTCACAGTTGCACACAAACACATTCGGTGGAAATTAAGAAAAAAGCATGGCCTTCTCCTATAATTAATTGTTTTAGATGTTATGTAATTCTAGGCCTCATGATTGCAATTTGTTCCATTGCTCTCTGTAGTTGATCCGGAATTTTCCATTGAAAAACCAGGAATGCACTAGCTATAGGCATAGGGAAAGGAAGCAAACTTACTTTGATATTTCTGGGGCAATTGTAGCTTGAACCTGAAAAAAAAAATAAGCGCTTAACATGTAAAAAACCCATTTGGATATGTTAAAAGCTCACATTAGCAGAATTTGAGCTGGAAATCCTTGTGATCCTTTTTCTCTTTGATAGCAAAACTTTTATATTGTTAATTCTGACATGCGTATATTTGAGATTTTAAACTTTAAATACTGTGATTTTTTGCACTTTTGCTACTGACTTTAGTTAATGTTATTATATGTGCCACCAATTAGTATGTCAAGTGCTATATCTACCTGACATGTAAATCGGAGGTTTCATTCAACATTTTTCGTAGGAAGGCAATTGGTTTTCACAGGCGGGCAGAATGGTTTGAACTAAACTTCTTTATAAGAAAAACTTTTCTCTGGAGGGTCAAACTAGACAGACAAAATCATCCTCACAGCTGCTCAATCTGTGAGGTGTCCGTCCCTGAATGAAAACCTTGGCATAAATCAAGTTCCAAACTTGAGAGATTCCTGAATCTTTCGGACTTTTTTTAAATTTTACAAATACATTCGGAGCTTGTCACAACAATTCAAACAATAGTGTGTAAGATCAAGCAATTGATTCAAGACTTTTTGATTGACCGGCTATAAATAATGATATTACTTTCAAACTCATGCACTCATCAGTTAGGGGTAAACAAATGATTCGTGATTTGTGAAAGAGATGCAGCTGTGTTTTGGCTGGGGTAAAGTTTGAACTCCAAAGAAAGAATTGGCTCATTATATCATAGAAAGAAATGTTAACTTAAAAAGTTTAAAGCGTAACTAAATAAAAGTGGTTTTCTTATTGATTTTCAGTATCGCATTCGAGGGAACTCAGAATGGGCACCTCCCAGAGCACAGATAATTTTCCATGCTCACAAACCTCCCAGGTTTGTATCTTTTACAATCGTGTAAGCACAAGCTGTCCTGATGATGAACTTTTAATGGAGTGTGTGGCATGCATTAGGAAAGCCCTTTTGAGCTTTCTCCTTAGGAACCTGCACAGCAAATAGATAGCGCTAATCACAAAAATTAGTTGTGAATATTATGGAAGTTATAATCAACATGTCAGTGTATGTATCAACATGGATCAGATCAGGGCATCGGTGATACCACAAGTGTAACGCTTGTATTCTGTGTACTTTACATTTTATTTGAAGCGTGAGTTATAGTGTGAGCGTCAAGCCACTAGTGTACCTGCGTTAATGGAAGCAAGTGAAAGGGTCTCCTGGAACTTACTCGCGCCGACTGGTTTTCTAGTCCTCTGGTATTAGTATCATTTCTGTCCATGAAATAAAGCAAGTAACAACAGATTAAAGCTATTAGTTGGCTTCAACAAAGAGCAGCATAAACGTTCCTGAGATGGAATTCTGACCCTGATAAAGGGTCGTAAATACTTAAATCCCCGAAAACTAAATGCAACCCTAACATCCAGAAAATCAAGAGATCACAATGACCTGATTAAAAACTAACAGTGGTATACATTTGAAGTTTTGTTTGACATTGATCTACTAAAACGTTAAAACAACGTTAATAGCTACTTTATATACAAAGACGTTTCGAAAAGTCTTCATTAATCTAAAAAGCCAACTGAAATTGCTGGCTATATAACGGTGCACAGTTCTGCACGTGATACGCCAGCGAAATGTAATGACATATCAAACTACGCGAGTGACTTGTTAATATTCAGGTCGGAATCTTGATATGTTCGTTGTCTGCATTTTGGTCTCTCTCTGAGAATACCAAGCCTCGAGGGAAAAAGTCTCTTATGGTAATCACGAGCCTTGTCCACAACAGTGGCGTGATTGAAGTCTATGTTATGGCCAAACTGATCGTCGTGTTGTGCAACCTTTGAGTTGCTGTTTCCAACTCGAACCGCCCTTTTGTGTTCTTGTAATCGTTTTGCTAAGGCTCGATCTGTTTGTCCATAATAGACGAAATCACAGCCAGGGCAACCGATTTTCTAAACTACACCCCTTGACTGTAAAATACGGGGTTTGTCCTTGGGCCATGGGTAGCCTGCAGTGTAGGCGTTTCCCGTGTGTTTTCTCAGAGATGCCTCCGACATTGGGAATGACCACTAAATTGCTTGAGGTAAAAGATGTGCTTGCGTCAGAGCTGTTTCTGTTGCTAGAAACACCGCGAGAAGGGTTGCGGTAAGATATGCAATTTTACATAGACTGCAAAGGTAGAGTCAGTGTCAAACAAAATTTCGAATGGATACTGCTGTTGTCCATCCCCTCCTGCAATTTTGGCATTTTTAGTTTAAAAACTATCATATAATGCACACTTTCTGAGAATAAGCAAACAGGTATAAATCACGAGAATTAATTGTCATTAAGGGTCAGATCAGGCCGAATCGAGTCGGATCGAATTGTCTTCCTTAAAACGGAAGTGAAAATGTGCTCCTGTTTACTTTATCCAGCATTATGCTTGCATTTTAGACCTGTTTGGTTTAGCAGTGGATTTCTTCGCGCACTAAAACAAGTGACGTGAGGCAGGCCAAAAGGGCCTTTTGTTTTTTGTAGTTGGTGTATAATTTCCTAGCTGCAATGTGTGGTGAGGCAGGGGGGATCTATTTGTATTATTCAAGAGATATAAATGTGCATTATATCTGATGTAACTTCATATTGCAGAGTGTAATATGTGGCACTTATCCAAGCCATCTACATAGGTAACATGTAGTAGTCATTCAAGTCTCCTAGTCAGCTTGAGAGTTGCCTACACTCAATAGTCATTCAGTGTAATTTGAACAGTGTGAGAGTGTGCACTTGACAGACAAAAATAACTTGGCATACCTTTCTCAACACAAAATTATATATCTTATTATGCCTTGTCAATTCCAAATGTCAAATAAACCGCTATGTTCAGTACTAGTTTTAGGAATGCGTGGTCAAGACAACATAATTATCTAAAATAAATCAGCATGGCTGATTATTTCAGGCATCGAACTTGAAGTCTGAAAGATGGCCAAGCTTGTAAATAGCCAACTGGTTTCCTCCTGCCAGTTGGGTTTTTAGCCTTGTTAAGTTTGATTTGAATCATTTGTTTCCAACCTTTAAGTACTTGTCTCACTAGCCTTTGCACTATAAATACTGACTAAGAGTAAATTCCTCTATATGCTACATGTACTTAGTATATATATATTTATTTATTTATCTAGGAGTAACTGCATCCTGTACATTTATCCTGGTACATTTACCATTATTCATAGTGCAAGAAAACTGTAACAATGCTCATAGATACGTACAGGAACGTTCTCAAAACTTCAAATCTAGC